GCGTAGGCGTCCAGGCTGCCAAAGTCCTCCGCCCCAGCAGCAGCGGTCATTGAGCGGTTCATCATTTGTGCTGCCGTCGTCTGACCCGAGCCAATGGGACAGTTCAGACTGAAGAAGTGATTGTTGCCCCAGAGGATGCGGTCGCCGTTTCGCAGCATCACCCTCGACTCGCCAATCGGCCGTCCATTAACATAGGTTCGGGCACCTCCTCCAGAGCCTGCGGCCGGCTCCATCCAAATCTCGCCCGCATGTCGGTCAATCTCAATCACGGCATGTTCGGGCATGATGCCCACCCCGGACAGCTGAATATCCTGCTCCACCTCGGCGTCAGGCCGCCCAATGAGCGTCCGCTCCTTCAGGTAGTAGACGAGCAGGGCGTTCATGGAGGGGTCGGCATTGAGGTTGACCAGGTAGTAGCGGTCCTTCTCCACGGCAATGCCCGAACTCTGCACGCTGATGCCCATCTTCTCCAGCGCCAGCTGCCGCTCCTGGTGAATCTTCTCCGTCCGCCGCAGCTTCTCCTCCCAGGTCTGCTCCATCTCCTTGATGAGCTTCTCCGACTCTACGAGCCGCTCCTGGAGCTCCGTCTGCACGGTGGCATGCAGCAGCTGCTCCTTCAACTGCTCCACCTCCTCGCGCAGCTCCCGAATGATGCGGTTGTTGGGGTCCTCATTGANCGTCTGCTCCATCTCCTTGATCAGCTTCTCCGACTCTACGAGCCGCTCCTGGAGCTCCGTCTGTACGGTGGCATGCAGCAGCTGCTCCTTCAGCTGCTCCACCTCCTCGCGCAACTCCCGAATGATGCGGTTGTTGGGGTCTTCGTTGATGACCGCGTGGTTGACGATGCGCTTCGCCCGATCGGCGTACCGGAGTGTACTGAGCGTCTCCTCGTAGCTGTCCGCCGCCGGGCTGATGGTGCTGATCATGATGGTCTTCGAGTTGCCGCCCAGGTTGTCCTTCAGCAGCCAGGTGAGCACTGAATCACGGTACGGGACAAAGGTGCTCGACTTTGAGGTTTCCTTTCGCCGACCTGCTGCTCCTAGCGATGCCGCCGCCGCCTGATCGGCCAGCTTCGAGATGACCAGCCCGAGCGTCGTCAACGATTTGTTGATATTCGAGCCCTCCTTCAGCCGCTCGCCCACCGCCCCGGTCTTCACCGCTCGCTCACTGCCCGCCAGGTCGACCAGGCTCATCTTCGAAACCCGCTCTCCCCTCACATCGGCCATCGAGTCGTACACCGAGCAGGTCAGCGTCAGCGTGAAGACCGCATGCGACCGGCTCGACTCGGAGTTCATGTTGGTGGCCGCCACCGTCCGCGACTTATTGCCCTCCGCCATGAGGCTGTCAATCTCGGCGAAGCTGCTGACGGCCAGCGTGCTCAGCCCATCGACGTACGGGCCGAGAATGTTGTGCTCGCGCACCTTCAGCGACTGGCGCGTGCCGCCGGCCGGGTCGAGCAGGTCGTGCACCTTCTCATTGTAGATCTCCATGTAGCTGACCTCCAGCTTGAAGCTGGCCCCCTCGTCCGCCCTCGTCGCCGCCTCGATGCGCTCAAAGAGGGCGTCGCAGAGGCGGGGAATGAGGCCCTTCTCGTGCGGGCTGCCCATCATCGTGTAGCTCTTGCCGCTGCCCGTCTGCCCGTACGCGAAGATGCAGGCATTGTAGCCCTGGAAGGCGCTGTCCAGCACCGAGGTGCCCAGCTGCTGGAAGACGTACTCCTGGCTGGCGTAGTGGCCGTCCGCCTCCGAGAAGGACCAGAAGCAGTGGTCAAAGGTGAAGGTCTGTTGGAAAGAGAGAAAGAAAAATAGAAAGTTGATTAGCTAAACGTCAAAAAGTGGTTCGCATTACAGTGAAAAGTGAAAGACCTGTGCTATTTTCTGCTCTCCATTTTTCTGACTGTGTGTGTGTTTGTGAGTGGTGTGTGCCAAACGGATGATTGAGCAGCAATTACCCGTTTGGCAAACGGCAGAAGGAGAAATCAACACAGGCGGCTGCTGTTGTTGATGCGGTGGTTGAGGTTGCAACCGCAACACATCTGACAGCCCCAAAGCTGCATCAACAGCAGCAGCATCACTGAATCATCACCACCAAACGAGTTTTTTTCTGCCAACCAAGAACTCTTGACTGGCAATTCGTTTTCATTCACTCGTTTAGTCAGTGAGTGAGTCAGTGGTTCAGTGTGCCAGCCAGTCAACCAGTCAAAACACACGCAAACGTCTCGTTAGTACTGTTATTACTGAATAACTGATGCCAGCAAAAGTTCACAACGCACACACAGCTGGAAATACTGGGAAAAAGGTCGACCAGAAGGGAAAAAATAGTAGAAACTTTGAGGCATAAAATACTACAGCCAATTCGAAAAGGATTAAAAAGTGGAAAAAGGAAGGAAGGAAGGAAGCAGGAGATCAATGAAAAGATGTGAAAAGGAAGGGGAGCAGGAAATGAAGAGGATGATCCAATCAAAGTAAAAGCAACAGCAGCAGCCACAACATCTGCCCAAATAGAATAACAAAAACAGTGCATTTTTTGCTCGCGCGCCGGGATTCACCACCTAAATCAGACCTAAATAGACCAAAAAGAAAAGGCTAAACTATAAACAAACTCTCTCCCCTTTCTCTTCCTGTTTGGCACACTGACCAACTGGCACATCATCACCACCACCGTCAATTAAATGGAGGCGAGAATTGCGCAAAAGGGCGCACAGCAGTGTGCACGCGTGAAAATCATCGATCAATCAATTGGTTCCGCTATAAATAATACCACACAGGTAAACTCTCACACAGGACACTAGACACACAAGGCACATCTTTTTCCATCGATCTTTCTTTCGCCTGGCGCTTTTGCCCCGGTGTCTCGTCTGTCGCTTCTGCGCGCACATTTCACAGCACAGCAGTCTGCAATTACGGCGGGGGACAAATCTGCAACCTTTCATTTTGCAACACCTCACACCTGGCTTGGAAAAAAGCGTCGTCCTTTCCAGAGGCATCATCAGCATGCAGGGCACATGCGGGCAGCAGGCACTTGCCTGGCTGCTGATTAATTACCGGGTGTACAGTTACTGGAGCAGAGCAGAGGGAGCACAGGTGCAAGTGGTGGCAGCAGCAACATTACCAGGGAAAAGTTTGGTGCAAAAGAAAGAGGAAGAAAAGCAAACCAGAGAAGAGGAAGACAATCACTATTTGTGGGGGGGGGGAGAAGACATAAAAAGGACCAGACCGGATTGAGATCTCCAGTGTCTGTCTGTGTGTGAGTGTATCATCAGCATTAGCCGATGGCCAGATCCAGCAGCAGCAAATATGGCAGCAGCAGATAGTGCCGCCGTCGCCGCAGCCGCCACTGAAGCTGATAATGTGCTCGCCAGTTTGCCTAAATGCTGCCGCGGCTGTCGTCATCTATGCTAAATGGGCCATTTAGCAGCAGCAGCAGCAGCAGCCCCATATGAACTGCTGTCTCTAACGGTGTGTGTGGCCGCCATTTGAGGTAATGAAAAAGCAGCGGAGGGGGCGCAATATGCAAACAGACAGACAGACAAACAAACAAATAGACAAACGAGANAGAAATGAGAGAAATGGAAGGGGACAAAAAATGACACAGTCACAGAGAGACGGACACTGCGCGTCGATTGTAGTGCTCTCTCGATCGTTTGCGCTGTGACAGGTGANGGGACAAAAAATGACACAGACAGAGAGACGGACACTGTGCGTCGATTGTAGTGCTCCCTCGATCGTTTGCGCTGTGACAGGTGAGTGCTCCCGCTCCCGTCCTTTGGACAATGGGTAGACAAGCTAGGGGAAGGGGGAAGGGGAAGCTGCTCACACAGCTGACCATCAGATAGAAGCAACTACCACTGACTACTGCTGCTCATATCAATGGCTACTCGACCCTCAAACACTGAATACAACAACAACAACTCACTGAAAGCCTGTTAGTACAAGAGTGAGTGAGTGAGTGAGGATGGCCTGACAGGGACAATTGTTGTCCGCAACTGCCAACTGCTAACGGTTGCCCTTGCTGCTGCTGCGACTGCTGCTGCAGTAATCTGACTGACCCAAATTCAGTGCAGGCAGCAAAAATCGTCCGCGATTTAGGTTGGCAGACAATAAACAGCAGCAGCAGCTTCTTAGCTGTCACCAGGGTTGACAGGGGAACGAGCTTTTCAGTGGAAGAAAAATCAGCAAAGCAAAGCAAAGAAGAGCAGAGCTGCCAAAAGACAAACACAGAAGAGCAGAGCTAAGAAGGAGTATGATGGTGCCTCACTCAAAGTGTGTGTGTGTGTGTGAGCAGTGTGTGTACCTGTGCCGTACCTGTGCCCTAGTGAGTGAAGAGTGAAGAAAGCACCGTAATGTTCAGTAATGCGCAACTAATTGCAGTGAGAGACCGTGGGGGAAAATGAGTTAGAAGAGATAGATAGAGCAGCAGTCACTCGCTGCCTGATGACATCGAATAATCAGAGTGCAACTCTTTCAAACAGGCAACAGCAGCAGCAGCAGCCCGATCTGAATGACTTTCTCGACGTCATCTGAAGCCCCACCAGCACTGCACTATCATGCTCATTGCGACAGCAGCAGCAGAAGTAGCAAACTTCTCTGACCAAGTTGCAGAGTGTGCTTGTGGTACACGGGGTAACCTGGCAGCAGGAGGGGGAGGAGGTAATATGCAACAGTCGATGATCCGATTATCAGCAGCAGCAGCAGCAACTCAGCCCCTGCAGTTAAGTGTAGATCATCAAGGAAGATGGTAATGGTAATGGTAGTGGTGGTGATGGTAGTAAGCTACGATTAGTCGACAGCAGCAGCAGCAGCAACTCAGCCCCTGCAGTTAAGTGTAGATCATCAAGGAAGATGGTAATGGTAATGGTAGTGGTGGTAGCAATAGTAAGCTACGATTAGTCGACAGCAGCAGTTTAGCAAAGTGTGCAGTGTGCGCACTGCGCAGTAATTGAAGCGTATACAGAGACATTTTCGCCATCACCACAGCCTCGTTTGCATACCAACACACACAACCAGCGAACAGTGTGTTTCCAAGTGTCGTACAGGACAGCACTGTCTGTGTGTATGTGAGTAAGTCAAGCACTGAGAGTGTCTGTGTTCACACTGGCACTAATTTGCCGCCGAACGCCGCCGCCGCCGCCCGCCCCCTCAAGGCTGAATNTCACACAACCAGCGAACAGTGTGTTTCCAAGTGTCGTACAGGACAACACTGTCTGTGTGTATGTGAGTAAGTCAAGCACTGAGAGTGTCTGTGTTCACACTGGCACTAATTTGCCGCCGAACGCCGCCCGCCCCCTCAAGGCTGAATCTGCGTCTCTGTCAGCACCTTCTTTTGCCCCTAAAAAAGGAGCAACTGCAATGTCTCAATGCGCTCACTAAATTAGCGCATTAGAGCACTTTAGCTATACACACAGACTCAAGTAAAGTAACTGGAACAAATAAACAGAAAAACTAGATTGAGAGGGAGAGAGAGAGGTAGACTGTGTCCACTGCATAAATGCAGTGTGTATTTCCAGCATGTGTGGTTGAGGATTAGCATCCAATGGAGGGGGATGCAAAAGAAAGGCTCTGCAAGGCAAACGACAGGCGTTCAAGTTCAGCTCCATCACCACAGCAACCACCACCGCCACAAAGAGACAGTTGTATTGACAGTAGTAACAGACGGACAGACAGTGCCTGTAATGATAATAATGCCAAACAACCGGCGCCAAAGGACGCTGACGAATCGATGAGTGCTTTCGATTTCGAAAGCAAGCAAACAGTCAGTTAGTCAGCCAGTTAGTCAGTCAACAGAGCTTCTGATCGTGATCGAGAGATTTGCTGCTGCTGCTGTGCATCGTCAAGCCAAGCCAAGATATACTGAAAGGGAAAGGCGATCGGACGAGGGCAAAGAGAGGGCAAAATGAGGGCTAAATCAATGAGAAAGGGAAAAAAGTGGTAGCAAAATTACCAGCAAAAATCGGTGGGGGACAACAGCCTATGAATTGACAAGCACACCAGAAAAAAGGAAATATTTTGACCAGCAAAAGGAGTAACAAGTGTGCAAGTCATCGCGGACGCAATTCAATTACCATCTCTGCTGATCACCACCACCACCAATGATGAATCTGGCCAAAAGCCAAAACTATTTGCTGACTACTACTGCTGCTGCTGCTGCCGTTCAGCCATTTGCAATTCTAATCCTCCTGAAAGAAGGAGAGGGAAGAGAAGGGAGACAAATCAATGCGCCACGTAATTATCATCTCGAGGAGCTGACTTCTTCAGCTTCAGCTGCACCGATGTGACACCGATGTGCAGTAGGCCAGTAAGTGTGTGCTGCTTGTAAGACGAGCTCTGCTCTGCTCACGATGCCAGCGAATGCCCGGGAGAAGCACTTTCGTACTAAGCGGACTACTACTGCCACTGTTGCCCATTGCCCTCTCTTCTCTCAATTGTCCGGTTTGTGTCTACTGTGCTGACTACTACTTTCCGACTGTGTTTGCCCGTGTTTACTCAGTCAGTCAGTCAATCAAAGTTTGATACTCTTGAAGACTCCAGCAACCACAACCACAGTCGATCACTATGAGAAAGAAGGGGGAGGTAATGGTGAGGGGGCAAGCCGATTACGGGGCTCTGCTAGTGTGCACAGGTTTGCCAGCCAATGTAATGAGCAATTAAGTGTGCAAAAAGGAAATTCAACTCACTGGAAGACAATGGAGTGAACGGGTAAAAGGTGATGGTGGTGGTGGTCTAAAGACGCTTACAAANCTTTCCGACTGTGTTTGCCCGTGTTTACTCAGTCAGTCAGTCAA